CTCTGGTGAGTGTATGTGCCCTACAGAAAAAAAGTCAGAGAGAGAGAGAGAACAACATTCCCCAAGGCAGCCCACCCACAGGCTGGAAAATTACACAGCCTTGAAAAGGGACAGGGCGCTGGTGTAGGGCACAAGGTTGGCAGTGAGCCTCGGAAACACCAAGCATGTGGAAGCAGTCAGACAGTGACTTCCCCACGGGAAGTGTCCAGAGACAGTTCCTAGAGACAGGAAGCAGCCCACCGGTTGCTGGGGCCAGGAGGGGAAGGGAGCCCCTGCTCACGAGGTGCAGCACCCTGCCAGGGTGAGAGCGTTCGGAGCCAGAAGGCATATGCCAAGCCCGCTAGGTGAACCTCCTGTGCCCCGGACTTCGCACAGGGCAAAGAGGACAGGCTCCTGGCCACATCTGTCCAGGAGGCGGTCGGCCCAGGAGGGCCATGCTGGGCGGGCTCACCTTCAGAGTTCTGCCGTGACGCTGCACCCTTGATTCGGAAGGCCTGGCGTGCCCGGCTGCGGTCCCCGAAGCTCCAGCTCTTGGGCACCTTGCTTGGGCTGTCCTCGAGGCTCTGGTCAGCGCTCGGTGACCGCCGGACCGTCTGGGCCTGGGGGGACCCCTTGCCCTTGGCAGTCACAGCCCGGGGGCTGGAGAAGACACGATCCTTCAAACTGACCTTCTGACTGCTCCCACAGGGACCGACAGACAGACACAGACACAGAAAACAGCAAGAAGTCACCGAGGTTGAGGGCCCACGCCCCCTCGTGGCTGCTGTTTCGTGTGGCGAGAGGGGCTGTTGGTCTCGAACAGCCGACCAGGTAGGGGGGAAGCAGAGGGCGGGAAGCGGGGTGGGCGCAGCCGTGCTGGGGAAGGCAGTGTCTGGACCTGGGATGGCCATGGGCTGCCACAGCGAGGGGAATCCCGCAGTGAGGAAAACCCCACACGCGGTCCCGAACAGGACCCGACCCAAGGCCTCATGAGCCAAGCCGAGCCTTGTCCTGTGACTTCCGCCGGCCCTTCCCGCCACTTGCCCCAGGCCGGGCCGTACTTGTGCAACCTCGCAGGGCCTCCCTGACCGGCCTGAGCAGCTGTGTGGCGAGAGCAGCTGCTGGAACGTCCTGGGGCCTGTGCCTCCCCTGCACTGAGCCAGCCCATCCCTGGGCTCCCTGACCAGAAAAGAACTAAACACCGTGGAACAGATCCTCAGTCCCCATCCCATTTCTGGATAACCATGGAAACGGGTCAGACAGGCCAAGTCCACTGGCTCCAGTGCCTGCCCAGAACAAGGAGAGGCGCTGGCATCGTGGTGACAGTCGGGACAACAGCCCCCTCAGTCTGGGACGCATGAGGCCACAGCAGCCAGGTGGCCACAGGCTCCCCCACTGGCCACAGACAGGGCT